ACATCACAGCAAATTTGACAAGATTGGATCTGATGAATCGGTTGATCATGTTACTTTAACCGGTTGAAGTCTATCCTTGTTCAAACAGTTGAACACATGCTTCAAACTGTTGAAGTACTCCATTCGGTCGGCTTAACGCCGTTCTAAATTTCAAAACTACGTTGAAAGTCTATTTTCTTCCACCCACCCTTATATCTAACATCACACAACCTTTACCCATGACTCGCTTCTACATTTAGAAGAAAAAATACATCGAAATTGGTCAGATTCTATTCCCTCCTTTGCAACACTTTTCCACCTAATTTCTTATAATTCTATCCCCAAGTGCGTTAGAGTTCTTCCATTCCTCATCAATATCATCACACCACAGTTTTACACTGTCAAAACTCAAGATACCCACATAAATGGCCAAACCACTCACTCAAGAACACATGCAACTCTAGCGCACTACCTCTCTCTCTCTCCTCCCAAAAACCCTTGAGTTTTATTTCCCTATTCTCATTTTCAACTTTTGTTCCTTTCCTGTCCATCGCCTAAGGCATTTTTCCCCCTTATGTATTTTCCCCTGGCATGGTTGGAGAGACTACATTCAGTCGAGTGTCTTCACATGCAAAAGCTCAAATAATTACACTCAGTTACCCTCTTGTTTTTCTTATTTCAACATTTAACCACTTCTAAATTCCCAACTCAATTTAAATTTCACCTATAGAGTCCCCAGCTAGTAATTAAACAATTCAATGGCTAGACTAAAACATAGTTACTTTATCAAAGTTTTATTACTATAATTTCATTCCCTCCTCGAAAAATATTAACAAATTGCATTTTCTCCCTCAATACTTATGAAATAACATGGTCCACATGCTCATGTTGCATTTACAAGTTTGTTCACCCAATCAAATACCAACTCACTCAATGGTCTTCAACCATGTCAATAATGTGATAAAACTAATTTACAGCACCAATTACAAGCAATAAGCTACCGGATTACACAATCCTTCACATATAAAGTACATTTAAACTAATCTGAAGCACACACAAGAAATAAACCCAACTCAAGGCCCGATGTCGCATAATCCACCGTCGAAGGATAAGATTTTCAGCATTCCTGTTGTATGAGTCGACACCTCTGTTCCTACCAGGCTTCATAATTACCACCTTCAAAATACCTTCCACATATGCATTTAAGCTTAACTATGCATACATAGCTATGTATCTGTGCCCTTGTTAGCATAGTTCTAAACTCCCTTCCAAATGGTGCTCTCTGAACCACCCCAAACTTGACTCATCTTTTACCCACTTTACTCACTTCAATACTTGTTTGAATCCACAGTCTACGTATTTGTAAGTCATTAAAACCACAATTAACTGAGTTAAGATCCTTTTAGTAACCCTGATAAGGATTTAGATTACTTATTTTAGAGCCCAGAACATCACAACAAATTTGTCAAGATTGGATCTGATGAACCGGTTTAAGTTAATCCTCATTCAAATGGTTAAAGGCATGCTTCAACTGGTTGCAGTACACATTTCAGCCAATTGAATGCTATTCTAAATTTTAGAACTTGGTTGAAAGTCTATTTTCTTCCACATCCTTATATCTAACACCACACAACATTTACCCATGACTCGCTACTACATTTAGAAGTAAAAGACATCGAAATTCGTAAGATTCTCTTACCTCCATTATGAACCTTTTCCTTCTAATTCCTTAGAATTCTCTCCCCAAGTGCGTTAGAGTTCTTCCATTCCACATCAATATCATCACACCATAGTTTTACATGGTCAAAACTCAAGATACCCACTTAAATGTGCAAACCACTCACTCAAGAACACATGCAACCCTAGCAAAATACCTCTCTCTCTCTCTCTCTCCAAAAACCCTTGAGCTCTCTCTCTAAAAACCCTTGAGCTCTCTCTCTATTCTCATTTTCCACTTTTGTTCCTTTCCTGCCAACAGCCTAAAGCTTTTTCCCCCTGTTTTATTTTCCCCGTGCCTAGCTGGAGAGACTACATTCAGTCGAGTGTCTTCACATGCAAAAGCTCAAATAATTACACTGAGTTCCCTTCTTGTTTTTCTTATTTCTTCATTTAACTACTCCTAAATCCCAACTCACTCTAAATTTCACCAATAGTCTCCCCACCTTGTAATTCAACAATTCAATGGCTTGACTAAAACATAGTTACTTATCAGTGTTTAATTACCCTAATTTCATCCCCCCTCATAAATATTAACAAATTATATTTTCTCCCTCAATACTTATGAAATAACATCCGCATGTTCATGTTGCATTTACAAGTATGTTCATCCAATCAAATAACAACTCTTTCAATGGTCTTCAACCATGTCAATAATGTGATAAAACTAATTTACAGCACCAATTACAAGCAATAAGCCACCACATTGCGTAATCCATCACACATAAAGCATATTTAAACCAATCTGATGCACATGCAAGAAATACACCCAACTCAAGGCCCGATGTCACATAATCCCCGTCTAAGGATAAGATTTTAAGCATTCCTGTCGTATGAGCCAACACCTTTGTTCCTACAAGACTTCATAATTGCCATTTAGAAAATACCTTCCACAGATGCATACAAGATAGCTATGTATCTGCACCCTTGTTAGCATAGTCCTAAACTCCCTTCCAAATGGTGAGCTCTGAACAAACCCAAACTTGGCTCATCTTTTACCCACTTTACTCATACTAGTTTGAATCCATATTCTACGTATTTTTCAGTTATTAAAACCCCAGTTAATTGAGTTAAGATTCTTTTACTACCCTGATAAGGATATAGTTTAATTGGTTTGCACAGTGAAGTTATTGTGGTTCACGAGCTCGGGAGCTCGGCTAATCCACTCTTCAGTGGTGCCTCTTACTCCTTCGATCTGTATTGATTCTCTATATGATTTTCAGAGTATATCTGTTATAGCTAGAGTTGCTCTCTCCACATTGGAGGCACTATACAACATTGTAGTCCCATTCCTAATTTAGAGGGATCTGTGTGCGAGATCTTCGTCTCTTTTCTGCGGTGTCTTGCCTGATTCTGGGAGACTGTTAAGGATTTTGTGCCTAGATTTGGGCTTATTACCTTTGAGGGGATGCCTCATGATTGCCAGATGTTTTCCACGTGTTCTCTTTGAAATGCAGGTCGAGTGGGTCCCATATCTGACTTACGGAGCTCTGGATTTAATGGCCGAGCACCTTGACTAACCTCCGCACCCGAGCTCATACTTAGAATTTGTTCTAGGTATGATCACAGATGTTTTAAGACTCGATTAATTTCTTGAACAGTTCCCTCTAAATAACAATACAAGAATTAGAGATCAAAGAAAGAATTTCTAGAATGCTAGGGAGGGTTGGTGAAGTGTTATTGAACTAAGAGGAAGAGGCACAAAAAATTTTTGGATATCTAGATAATAAGTGATCTATTTTTAGATGGTGAAAAATGGCATTTGGGTTTTTGGTAAAAGAATGTGGTTATGGGAAGGGGAATAGTCATTGACATTCTAGGTGACTAAGTTGGGAAACTCATGGAGAGATGCTCCAGAGAGAGTGGCTATAAACTACCATTCCAATAAAGCATTAAGTGTATTTAATGGCTAAAGACTGGTAGGGGTTTATTCATTAAAGGGGTTTACACATTAAATGGGATTAATTGGACTAAAATTAAGCAATCAATTTATAATTGTAGTGATTAGGTCTCATTGGAAAAATTTATAATCAATTTATAATTGTAGTGATCAGGACAGTTATATCTAATTTTCTCAATCCAAAAGTAAAAAAAAAATATTATTTTTAAGAGTTCGTGGACCACCAATTTATTGAAAAAAAGAAAAAGAAAAGACAAGAACCATTATTGAACTTTTAAAAAATTTAGGGAGACAAATATAGTGTATCAAATAATTTTATACCCTGGTCCCCTTCACCATGTGGCTCCACCCTTGCCTATAATGCAATTGCTTATGATGAGAAAACTAAGCAACTTTGGAGGATATGTATTCTATTGGATGCAAATCTTTAAATTAGTGGCCGCCAGCCAAAATTGTTTCTTCTTTTACATTTTTTTAGAAAAATTGTACTGATGATGCAAAAAACGTGTTTATGCACGACCTGTCAAGTATTTAATGTAGTAATAAATTATGTGAATCAACACAAGCAAAACACAATTTAAGTGGTTCAGTTGGGATGACCTACTCCGCTATGGATGGCTAGGATGGTCTGAGTGTTTTATTGCTTCAAGGAGTGAAGGATGCTCAAGTATGAGTGATATGTGTGAAATGCCCCCTAGGTGAGGCTTACAACTTATAGGCGCCTCCTAACAAATTGAGGCGCCTTTCTCATAACAAGTGAGATAATTCCGTAGAGATGGTTATGTGTGTGTCCCAAGGAGATCTCTTTGCCTATCAGTTATGGACTGAGTCTCTTGCCATAAGGCAGCTGACCTGACTCTCTCTCAAGATGGCGCAGTTAATCTTATTTTCTCCTTCCTGCAGTAGGCCTGGCCTACATTCCTAAAATGCACATTTGATCTAGGCCTCGTATGTGATTTTGGGCCTAGTCTAGGCCCGACCCATCATTTGCCCCCATGCCTTGAGCCCAATGGAATTTGGGGGAGAGGGCATTAGCGAGGATAAAATTTTTCTCTTCTATTTTTACCTTTTTTTTCCAAGTACTGACTGTGTCCTTGTGAATATTGCTTTGAGATTTAAATTATTGGGTTAGTGGGCACTCTCTATTGGGGGAGAATTATCTTTGTTTTTAACTTCCTTTTGGGGAGCTTATCTTTTGCCTGAGGTCTTTAGATAGGGCTCTTTATCTTACTTTGATTGGGAGTTATCATTCCAAACTATATTGGATATCTTCTTCCACCTTGATTAGGAGACTTCATCCCAATCCTGTTAAGACTCCCCACTTGATTAGGACACTGCCAAGTCTAAAACTTTGGCTATAAATAGGATTCCTTCACATCAATTCTTCTAACTTATTCTAAGAAAGAATAGAGAGAAATGAGATTCCAAGTGGATTGGGATTCAAGGATCAGGCCTTAGGTAAGGTAGCACTAAGAGGAGCTGAGGTGCTAGGGGCCAAGGAGCTAAGAGGAACAAGCAGCATTGCAGGCAGGGGCATCAAAGGCATGGGCAAGGGTGCCGAAGTCATAGGCAAGGGCGCCTGGCTAGGAGGCAAGGTCTAGGGTGCCTCTGTAGGTGGTGCAGCAAGCAAGGGCGTCGAAGGCCAAAGAGAGGGCACCATAGGTGTTGAGGTAGGCGAGGGCACTGCTTGGGGCTCGAGTGAGGGCACACAGAATGCTGTTGCAAGTGCGTGTATTGGTTGGGGTGGGCTAGGGCGGCCCAGGGTGTTGTAGTAGGTGTTGGCACATGGGCATGCATTGGGACTACATCACACAAAACCTCACCAACATAACACCCAATGGAAAATGAAACTAATACCTTCCTATTCACCTTAACCTCCCCACATTCATTCAACCACTACAACTTATAAGGAGTAGGGTGTTTAATAGTAGGCAAATTAAGTTTCTCAACTGATAAGGTACTATCAACATTAGCACAACCCCCACCATCAATGATAACACTACATACCTTATTGTTGATATGGCAAGGAGTATGAAAGATGTTGTCATGTTGGGCCTTATTGTCCTCCTCCTTCACTTGTGCATTCAAGGCACCCCTTGTGACCAAAATTTCACCCTCAATTGGATATTCCTCTCCTTCACTCTCATCATCCTCATTAGATTCACTTTTAGTTTCAAAATCTCCATTACCTCTCAAAATCATGGCATGTTTATTTGGACAATGAGATGCAATGTGCCCCCACCCAAACACTAAAAACACTTTATATCTCTATTTCTAGAAGTTTGAGAATCAGATTTACCTCGCTCCTTGCTAGCCTCAAAGTCTTTGCCTTTGTTGGAAGATTCAGCCTTGCCCTTAGAATCTGATTTTTCTTCCTTCTTGCTCCAACTAGAATTCAGTTTCCAAGAAGATGAAGAACCCAAATTCTGCCCAAATCGAGTAGAACCTTTCCGTTTGAGTTGCCTCTCAACCTTCATCGCCATGTGTAGCATATCCTCCATCTCCACATAATGCTTTAACTCAACTACTTCTGAATATCTCGGTTCAAACCATGCAAAAATCGTGCCATGGTCGCCTCTCGGTCCTCCTTTACATTAGCCCTAATCATGGCTATCTCTGTCTCCTTATAATACTCTTCAACACTCCTGGACCCCTGAGTCAACCCTTGCAACCTCTGAAACAAGTCTCTATAATAATGAGAAGCGACAAACCTCTTCCTCATGATACTCTTCATCCCATCCCAAGTATCAACTAGATGCTCTTTATTCTTCCTCTTATGCAACACTAACAGATCCCACGATACTACCGCATAATTAGTAAAGTCCACTACAGCTAGTTTCACCTTGTTTCTCCTCTGAATAGTCATGGCAATTAAACACTAACTCCACTTTCTTTTCCCACTCTAAATAAACCTCTAGATCATTCTTGCCTTGAAAGACTGGGATTTTCATCTTAATGCTATCCAAATTCCCATCTCTCCGATAAACATCTCTACCACCTCCACGACTACCTCCGCCACCTCTACCATGGTCAAATCTAATCAACGTGGCCTGGTCATCGAAGTAATTATCAAGGTCCCATTCTTCATCATTGATAATGTTTTCATGGCGCCTATCCTGCCTCCTCTCAACTGGTGCCTCACTCCTACCATGTCCATCATCGCTCCTCTCCTCATTCGTTCTCAATTCACTAATCGCATTCACCTGCTCCTCCAACTTATTTCTCATGTCATCAAACCTCACATTCATACATTCAAACTATTGTTGCATAGCCTGAAGTGTGAATAGCACATCAGTACCACCCTCCTCAGCTACTCCTTTATCCTTGGAAGTCATGTTTTATAATCTGCAAAAAAAAATGTTAGAAATAGCCCCACAAACACTCCTTCATGTGTTTCAAATTTTTCAATGTCACTCAACCATCATATTTTACACTCTTATTGGCTTTTTCTTCAGATAAGCTCACACACTCAGCCTTTTACCGCTCAAATGTCTCACCTTTGTCGTTCTTTCGCATACTACTCAAAACTCAACCAAACACCAACCGTTCCCACAACGCACAACAACTTAACAAAATAAGGCACAAAATATCGAAGGAAGGACCATAATTAACAATGAAAATAGAGAATAACAACGATAACACAAAAATAAAACAAAGAAACAAGGAATACGAATTCGGTGAAAACTAAGCGAAACAATGGTTCGAAAGCAACAAATGGATCAAGAAAGGGGTTAAATCAATGAGGATGACCTGTTTTGGGATAACAAATACGTGAATGATCATAATAAGTAATTATGTTTACTTTTTCAAGTCTCAACACAAATCAGCCCTAAAGCAAACTGATTAGCCTCATTTCAATTCTCTCTTTCGTTTCTTTTCTTTTCTTTTTTGATATCAGATCACAAAAGAGGCAAAATATGCACAATTGGGCAGCATATTTCACAATCGATTCACAAAGCAAGTTGTGTATTTAATTCTGCTAATATTATGCAACCCTAATTGATTTAAAATTATAAAAAAAAAAAGACAACTGAAACTCCAGCAGCAAGACACGCCCCAAATCACAGAATAACATGCAAAAAGAATAGGAAGATAAAAACCCTAATTTTTTTTTGGTTAAAATAGATGCGCATAAACATTAAAGGAATACCAAACAGCAGCAAGAAACCCTGACTTGGTCAGATTATATAAGCACAAAACAAAGATAACCAACCTGATTTGAGAAAACAAACCTGAGTGATCTGATACCAAACTGATGTGAACCCTTAAACGAGTTCGAGAACCCATACGCAAATTGATTGAAGAATCACCAAGAAAGTTCACAAATCAGATTATATGAACCAAGAACCCTAAACCCAATGTTTTAAAGAAACAAGAACCCAAGATTAAAAGTTCAAGAAAAGATGCCACACTCAAGATTAAGCGATAAGTCGAAGAACACCATAAGAAAGATTGATTCTTGATAAATTCTTGAAATAGTTCTTGGAAGAACAATAAGGTGGAAAACCTCACAATACTCATAAAAATGATATTCTATATTTTACAAGGTCTTATGTGAGTATATGAACATGCCAAAACCAGCCAACAACCTAATCCTACTTTTTAGCTAAGTTGTCTTAATCCAAATGAGAAAAGGAAACAAATCCTAATATGCTAAGGAGAACATAACACCTAGCAATTCTGCCCCCTTATAGGCCTAACAATAATAGGAGTTTATATTTTGACAATCCAAACCCAAACAGGAATAACTAAAGTTGGGCTTAAAATAAGTAATCGGCCCAAAATCCCTAAATACCCTAAATCAGGCCATACAACCACTTAATCAGGTTTGTTGGACTTGAATTACATTAAAATAAACTTGAGGCCTTTTCCCCTTAAAGCCCACGCATGTCATGGTGGAAAAGCCTCCAAATGCACTCTCCATACTTGAACTTGCACAATCAGCCCATATGCCTTGAATCAGCCCATTCAGTGCTGTCCTTCATCCTTTTCACTTTTGCCCGAGTCATTGGAGCTCCATTTATGCTCAACGGATCAGATTGCATCGCATCACAATATGACACTTGTCCACTTGGATAAGATTAGTTGATTAATCTTTTAATTATATTTGAGTCATGCAACTAAAACCCATTTGCTGGAATTTTAATTGCGTGTCACCAAATTGCGTGTTTCACTTTATTTTATGTGAAAATTTTTACTATCTCAAAATTTAATAAAAATTGGCTGGGCAACTTGATTTCGCAAGATGAATCAAATAGTGAGGTTCATTTTGTCATTTGAGTTTTATAAAAAATCAGATTTTTAACGATTTAATTATTGTATTACCCGTTTAATTAATATTTTAATTTTTTTAGATTTTACAACATAAGTCTTCCACGAGCCCAGATTTGGTTCAGATCACTACCCTATCCTGATTAACTCCTAGAGCAATGCTACATGGACTTAAAAAGTAGACTTAAAAACTAGACTCGATAATTTTAATCATTGATTTCACTGTGGGTCCCAGCATTTATTGGGACCCACTACCTATTCAATGATTGAGATTATCAAGTCTAGTTTTTAAGTCCATCTAGCATTACTCTTAACTTCTACGTCAAGCCCAAGAGAATTCAATACTAGTTTAAGTTTGAAGCAATGTGGCAGTGTCAAGTTACAGTCCAAAAAATAAAAAGGGAATAACGAAGTGAATTTGCCTTTATGGTCACTATTTGCTTGTTGTAATATGTGCCCTCCAGACTTCAATTTGTATTCCTGTAATCCTTTTACGTTGCATTGTAACCATGTTTAACAATTTTTAAAAGAACTAGTTATTAACTATTTTACTTTCTGATTCCAAAACCCAATTTCCCTAATGAGGGCGGCGGGATGTACTCTCCACCTGAAAATGAAGTCGATGATTGGAGAGACTCAGGTGGTTGACCCTCCGAGGGTCAACCCTATGATACTTAAGTTAGGTAAAGAGAATGCAAAATAAAATGTTAATCAAGATGGGTTTGTTGCTTTACTTGCTAGGCCAAGCTCACCTTTTGTTTATAGGTGGAATATGAGTGGATTATTGTTTGATACAAAATAGGTGCACTCAAGTTCAAGTGGTTAAAAAGTAGTACATATTCAAAACTGTTGAGGTCATACCATAGAGATTGAAGAAATTATAAAAGTAGATAAAGGAAAAACAAGTAAAAATCGATTTTGAATTTTGATTTTTTTTTACAAAATAAAAGCAGGAAATTTTAAAAGGGATTTATCAAATGGAAAAAAAAAAAAAAGCTATTTAGTTTTGGGATCTAGAGCTACTCTTGTTCACCAAATATCTATGTTGATGAAATTAAAATTTTTCTATGTTGATTTTTAATGTCAACATAGTCAACCAAAAAATTTAACTTTGAAAATTCAAGATTCAATTAATTTGAAAATTAGAATTGAAGAAAGCACCATTCATAAAAAAAAACTCAATCAAGTTAATGAATAATTAAATAATTTTACAGAGCATAAATCTTTACAATAAATCATTCAATTTAGGAAAACAATAACTTTAAAGCATAAGGAAAATAATTGCATAAAACATAAATATTTAATTCACAATTCTAGATCCATACCCAAA